CATCTGTAAGCCACCCAGAGTTAGTTATGGTAAGATGGGCAGCCAATAAATGTTATTTATAAATTATAAATAAATAAATAAATAAATACACACTCACACACACACACAAACACACACACACACACTCAGTACAGATAGTCCTCAACTTACAACCTTTCGTTTACTGATTCTTCAAAGATACAACGGCACTGAAAAAAGGGACATGACTCTTTTTCGCACTTAAGACCGTCGCAGCATCCCCATAGTCACCTGATCAAAATTTGGACGCATGGCGCTGGCTCATATTTATGACGGTTGCATTGTCCCGTGTGTGTGTGTGTGTGTGTGTGTGTGTGTGTGTGTGTGTGATGGTGGTCATGTGATCCCCTTTTGCAACCTTCTGACAAGCAAAGTCAATGGAGAAGCCAGATTCAGTTAACAACCGGGTTACTAGCTTGACAGCTGCAGTGGTCCACTTAACAACTGTGGTGAGAAAAGTCGTAAAATGGGGAAAAACTCACTTAACAACACTCACTTAGCGACAGAAGTTTTGGTCTTAGTTGTGATCGAGGACTACCTGTATTTAACACCTCAGACCTTGAGTAATGTTTTACCTAATCCTGGGTTAAGTTTTGCCTTTCAAAATGAGCTCTGAGGCTAGGTTTCACCTCAGGTAACATACTCAGCTCACAGTGGTTTTTCGAACAATGAAAATAATGTGGAAATCCTCTCCTATGGCGGGTCATTGCAATGGGGGAGGACAAGGCCTCGAATCCCTGGCTTAGCTCATGATTTCCCCCAGAGGGAGTCAAAAAAGTCAAGATGCAAGCCACAGCCAAACAATCAAACTCTACCCCTTTTGCAATGCAAGTAAAAAACAACAACACCAGTGGAGCTTCAATTGCAGGATTGCGTCTGCCATCTTGGTTTGCTGCCTACGCATTGCAGGAAAGGAAAGTATCTCCTCTCCAAAAGCAGTCCTCACTTAGGACCGTGTGAAGTAACAATGGACCTCCCCAGAACTACTTAGGACCCTGTTCTGGAGTTCTGACCGTCGCAACCCTAAACAACTTGACAACTGGCTCTCATTAATGGCCATTGGCAGTTTCCTATGGTAATGTGACTGCAGTTTTTGACTTTTTTTTTTTACTGTTTCCAGCATTTACTTCTCATTTCCAGCAAAAAACAGCCATTGAAAAGGGGTTTGCTTAATGACTGTGGCATGCACTTAACAATATCACCAGAAAGGTTGTAAAATCTGGCATGGTTAAGTGGTGACCCGCCATACCTTACAACTGTAATTCCAGGCTCATTTTCGGTCATAAGTTGAGTGCTAGCTGTACACATTGATTTGAAAACATTTGCATAGTGGCTGAGTCCACACCACAAACAGGCTGAGGTTATGGGGACTATTATTCCCCCTTTAACCAAAGTACTGGATCAATGCCCTGCCCTTTCCACATAAGAAATAGGCTTCAGGCATGTGGTTGCATCGCCATCTTGACTTTTTTGACCTCCTTGGGTGTCCCAATTTAAGGCTTATCATTGCATTTAGCTTGAATTTGACTTTAGTTTGAATTTGACTTTAACTTGTTGTTGACTTCAAATTCTGATTCCTGAGAACAGTTTCTGTCCCTCTGACTCAAATGCTAAAGATTCAAGGACACAGTTGTTTGATAAGCAAGGTTTATTACAGATACTTGGAAATCTATCATTAAAGTGGAAAGCCAACTAGGTGCCTGAAGCCATCTATACAGCATTCCTGAGGTTCAAAACTGAGGTCAGTGTTTTTCAACCTTAGCCATCTTAAGATTATGAACTTCGACTCTCATAAATCATTAGCTGGGGAATTCTGGGAGTTGAAGTCCACGTGTCGTAAAATGGCTAAGGCTGAGAAACCTTAAAATGGCTAAGGCTGAAATTGCCTTAAAAAAATAAAGGGGACACAAAAATAAGACATCCTAGATCTGAATGAATGAAATATTATTACATAGTTGAATGTGCTGACAACAAAATCACACAAAAATTATCAATGGAAATCAAATTTAGCAACCCATGGAGATCTGGATTTGGAGTTACACTCAAAAAACATTACAGGAAAAAAACACTACAGGCTGATCCAGCTTTGATGTAATGTTCTTCAAGCAAGTCTAAATGAGGCTCAGTAGTGTGCGTGGCCTCCGTGTGCCTATATGACCTCCCTAAAATGCCTGGGTATGCTCCTGATGAGGTGGCAGATGGTCTCCTGAGGGATCTCCTCCCACACCTGGACTAAAGCATCCCCCAACTCCTGGACAGTCTGTGGTGCAATGTGTCATGGGTGGATGGAGCGAGACATGATGTCCCAGATGTGCTCAATTGGATTCAGGTCTGGGGAAGGGGCGGGCCAGTCCATAGCACCAATGTCTTCATCTTGCAGGAACTGCTGACACACTCCAGCCACATGAGGTCTAGCATTTTCTTGCATTAGGAGGAACCCAGGGCCAACCGCACCAGCACACGGTCTCACAAGGGGTCTGAGGATCTCATCTCGGTACCTAATGGCACTCAGGCTACCTCTGGTGAGCACATGGAGGGCTATGCGGCCCCCTAAAGAAATGCCACCCCACACCATTACTGACCCACTGCCAAACCGGTCATGCTGGAGGATGTTGCAGGCAGCAGAATGTTCTCCATGGTGTTTCCAGACCCTGTCACATCTGTCACATGTGCTCAGTGTGAACCTGCTTTCAACTGTAAAGAGCACAGGGCACCAGTGGCGAATGTGCCAATCTTGGTGTTCTCTGGCAAATGCCAAATGTTCTGCACAGTGTTGGACTATAAGTACAACCCCCAACTGTGGACATAGGGCCCTCATACCACCCTCATGGAGTCTGTTTCTGACCATTTGAGCAGCCACATGCACATTTGTGGCCCGCTGGAGGTCATTTTGCAGGGCTCTGGCAGTGCTCCTTCTGTCCCTCCTTGCACAAAGGTGGAGGTAGCGGTCCTGATGCTGGGTTGTTGCCCACCTACGGCCTCCTCCATATCTCCTGATGTACTGGCCTGTCTCCTGATGTTCTGGACACTACGCTGACAGACACAGCAAACCTTCTTGCCACAGCTCGCATTGATGTGCCATCCTGGTGAGCTGCACTATCTGAGCCACTTGTGTGGGTTGTGGACTCCATCTCATGCTACCACTAGAGTGAAAGCACCGCCAGCATCCAAAAGTGATCAAACCATCAGCCAGAAAGCATAGGAACTGAGAAGTGGTCTGTGGTCACCACCTGCAGAACCCCTCCTTTATTGGGGATGTCTTGCTAAGTGCCTATGCTTTCCACCTGTTGTCTATTCCATTTGCACAACAGCATGTGAAATTGATTGTCAATCAGTGTTGCTACCTAAGTGGACAGTTTGATTTTGCAGAAGTATGATTGACTTGAAGTTACATTGTGTTGTTTAAGTGTTCTCTTTATTTTTTTGAGCAGTATATTAATCATCTATCTCTATATCTATTATCTATAGCTATTAATTATCTATATCTATCATCAATCTAGCTATCTATTAATCATCTATATCTATATCTATTAATCATCTATCTATTAATCATCTATCTATTAATCATCTCTATCTGTTAATCATCTATCCCTATATCTATCATCTATCTATTAATCATCTATCTCTATAAATCTATTGATCTATTAAATCTATCTATCTATCTATCTATCTATCTATCTATCTATCTATCTATCTATCTATCTATCT